TCGAACACTCTACGTGTCTTCATCTTCTCGATTCCTGTGCATTTTTTGATTGTGGAAAGTGCAGGGATCGCACGCATTTCTTGATAATTTTTTAATTTAAATTTGTTTACGTTATGTCAGTTTTCCAAATCATTCATACATTTATGATCAACTACTAATATTATGATTGTTGTGGTGTACATCATTTGCTTGACAAATCGGATGTTCTGCAATCTGACCGTCTTAATTTACAATCCAGAAATTGGTAGGGCATTTTCTCTGCCAGACAAAGAAAGGCGATGAAATTAACAGGAAGAGACCAAAGAACAGGAAAATAAATATTTACAACCGTTAATTGCATGGCTGATTAGACATTCCAGGTCATACCCAAAATGGACCTAACGATTGGTGAGACGTTGTTCTTCCTACATCATCCCTTTATTGTTGTTTATGACTATTATTCAGCAATGTTAACAATTTTGTTTGTTTTTTTTTGTAACATAAAATACATTTCTTCTGTTTTAATATATGGACAAATCACCGAAATGTTAATCATATGCAGCCTTATCAGGTATTCTTACAGTCAAGATTTTTCTGAACTGAACACCGTTTATTGAAATAGGTGCTGGCTTTGATTATGTCAAGAATAACTTATGATAGGGAGTATTATCAAGCTAGAAGATAATATGGTGAACCTTATAATGTGGTACAATGCATACGGAATTTATGTCTCCAGATATATCCGATATGAGCAAAATGTTAGTTTTTAAGTTAATTGAAGTACTAGCAATAGTGTGAAGTCGGTGTTGCTTCTGCTTGCAAAAGTTCATTTGCTTTTCAATATACCGTGGGTTCACAGTACCGTGGTCGGTACTGTGAATTAACATTTCAACCCAGGGAGGAAAGGTGTTTCTCAGAGCAGATCCAAAAGCATCATTACGCTGGAAGTTGGAATTAATATTGTACTGTTCCTACCAATAAGTTGTGTGGTGACCGATCATTCTCGATTATTCGGAATATGTAAGAAGGTGGTGAAGTTTTCAATTTTGGAATGGAATTTTACTTTGTATGGTCTGATTTTTAATACGACGGTTGGAGTATAGGAAGGAAGGTGCGGTTCTCTGCTCATAAAACTAAACTCAAACAACGAAATAAATGGCTTCATATCAAATTAAATTTTGGATATTTCGTTTTGGTATTATATTTAGGAAGGTGTGAATTATTAATTGTTGGCTAAAGTCATTTCTCGGAATCAAATAAGGACTAGACGAGGGCGTTTGCATGTTTTATTTAATGATATAAGATTTATTGTGGAATCAAGATTTCTCGTCGATGATATGGATGACTCTATGACAGCTGATGGAGAAAAAAACGCCGGCAATGGTACGAATGATTCTCTTAACCTGGAAACTTTTAGATTTAAGGAAATACTTGGTGAAGATGGTGCCCGTAAGGTAATTCTTTTTCTGCAACAGTTTGATATCAGGTGAAGTATTAAATCTAATCAGTTATTAAACTACCACCTTTTGAAAGGAATGGTGTGGTTTAAAATGCTATCACATTTATTTCAATATATTAGATTTCCTTTTCAAGCTGTTGTGAGATCTTCATACACCGAAGAAATTGCGAAGTACCCAACTACGCAACTTCCAGAAAGTAGTCGTATCCAAAGGAATTAGCTTAAAACTTGCTAATTGTTGCTTATTAGGAAGTATTTGAGCGAAATTCAGAATTACCGAGGACCCTGAACTTTATGAAACCTTTGCGCACTTCTTTCTTTGGACTTTTTGTTAAGCTCTTAACTCTTGTTGTTAAGGTTAATTATGTTTAAGGTAGCTTTCGTACTATTGGATGTGAACGACTGTAATGATCAAGCTGTTCTGATTGTGGAAAGGACTCATTTTCCTCTGAATGAGCAGGACTGGAACACAATTATTTTGCAAAGTTCACTGAAAACATTATCAACTAATGACATATATTCAAATCATATTTTATTCCCACCAGAGAAGTTTACTGGTATAACCGTTTCTTCCTCATTTTCATTGGTCATTTTCTCAAAATAATCCAAGTTTGTTAATCTTGCTGATAATCATCAAGCTGATAATTTTCTAAAAGCTCTATGCTGGTTTTAAAATTACTGCTTAGTAGTAATTTTTCGTTTTGAGCAAGTACCCAACTGCAGCTCCTTACCTTTTCATTACTTTGGCCAGATAATCGATGTAGCCAATATTAGGGCTTTCTAAAATAGTGAGGTGTAAAAAGTGTACATAAGGAATCAAGACGACGTTAATAAATCCATGTACCGAAAAGCATATTGCGAAGTATCGGAATCAGAAACGATATGTTATTCATGAAACGCCGGATGATTATAAGTCCATCACTTTACCTTATCTGGAAAAACATCAATTCACACTGAAGGTATCTTTTTGGTAAAAAATTTTCAATTTTTTTAGTTCAAGTTTCTTAATATCAGAAATTGGAGTAAATACTAGGCTTTTATATGTATGATCGGATTCTTTATTTTGCTTTTACTTTTACTTTCAGTGGATTTTTAATTTGTTGGAATACAAAGCCGAAGTAGACCGTCTTATTTTCGATGATGCAGATCCACAGAATGGTTTTGTGCTTGCGCCAGACATCAAATGGGATGGCAAAAATTTGGCGAATCTTTATGTTTTGGCAATCATCAGGCGGAAAGGGATCAAATCCATTCGGTAGTTTAAATGTCTTCCCTTTCCCTAAATTGCTCGTGTGTTTGATATTGTAAATTAAAAATAAAAGACATTTTCAAATTTAAAATAAAAAATTCCTGGAGTGACTCTAAGGTTTTTTCCTGGTTTTAATTCTTTTTTTTTCTTTTAATCTAAAAGAGTCGATTATTTTACCTTCCTCACTTTTCCAGAAGGTAGAAGTTTTCTATTTTTGATTTCAAAAACCAAATAGATAAAGGGAATTTCGTTGACAATGTATTTTTTCTTATTTCTCTGAGATTAAAAGCGCATTATCTCATTCATTTCAGGGATTTAACTGCCAGTGACCTTCCACTACTAGAGAATATTTCTCAGAAAAGTTATATGGCAATTAAAGAGAAATATGGAATTGGTAAACATCAGGTAGTTTAGAGATATTGTTTCGCAAGCGAGTTTCTTCATTTTTCATCCTATATCCGACATCGTAGAGCTATGCTTACGCAATAGAACATGTCATGATGCAGAACTGGTTTTGATGTAACAGTTAGGATGCCAGTACTGTAAAGTTTTGAAGGAAATCTCACCAAACCGGTTCATACCGATATTACCTCCGTTGCTCTCATTAATAATAATTTCTATTGGGTTTTAAACTTTAACAAAGCTGGATAGCAACGTAATAAAATTTTTCAAGCAAAACCAAATTTTATAAGCTTAGCAGGGTAACTTTTTCTTGCATATAAGATCAAAATTAGTCTTGCGAATTAAAAATTTAAGTACCAAAGTGAAGCTTAATAGGTTCATCTTGCAGTTCTAGAATACTAAAATGTTATTCTCTCTGTAGTAGGAAAAGAATCCAGCTTGTTCATTCTTCAGATCCGAGCTTATTTTCACTATCAGCCAACATTCTATCATTTACATGTTCATTTCATCCATGTATCATACGATGCACCTGCCAGTGGCGTTGCAATGGTTTGCTTTTTCAATTTTGATTTCCACCGATAATTTGATTTTGATATTTAGATGGAGCTAGGGAAGTTCGAAGATTTTAGAAAATCAAATACAGATTTTTCGAAACTCGTGGTCTGCCTGAATACTACCTGAATATTAAATGATTTCTTTGATTCAAGTGTTTAAAGGTCTGCAAACTGATAATGTATTTTTTTTCGAATGATGGAATAAAGCTGTGATGCAGTTTGAGATAGGTTCTTGAGACGTAATAACCATTATCAGTTATGTCGGAATTCTTTACTCATGGTTTTGTATCTTTTTTGTATCATTAGATGTGCGAGAACTAAATTATTGTGGTAATTGGCTATTTGAGAATTAATATCTTTGTTCTCTTTTAATTTAAGGCCTATCTTCTGGAGGATGTAATCAACAACATAAAATTGGTTCCCGATTACTATCAGCGTTCTACGTTGACTTTTACGGTGAAGGAGAACAACGAACTGCTGAAGTTATATCGCACGCATATCGATAATAACATCTAAATATTCCTGTTTGCTACAGCAGTTTGTTTGAGCAAAAGTTTTTGGTCATAGTAGTTGACACTTTTTGATTAATTTCTTCCAGTGAATATGTCATGTTTCACATTGTTTATCACATTGTAGCAATCGCATTGTTTCCTGTACATAACGATTTCAGTTCAAATTGAAGATCTTTATATTCTTTCTATTTTTCCCATTGGCATTAAATGTTTTATGGGTGAGATGCTTTTTTATGGGCTGAATGTTTATTTTAGTTTTTTACTTATACATCTTTCTTTGACTGCTTAATTACTTTTTACTTAACTAACAGAATTACTTACACAAATACTCTTGCAGAAAGTAATTCCAAAATACTATTTATTGTTTGCTTTGGTAATGATGATGATATTACTTTAAAGCTGCATATTGATGTGATTTACGTGCTCTTTGTAGACTTGTAAACACTTCTGCTGTTTTTACTTTTCTTCTTATGTTTCCATTCAGTTCATGATGAAATTTTAGCTTCTAATTAAACTAATTTTGGCGTTGATAGTTTGATCTGCTTTTACTTTGATTTTTATTTTTAAATCATAGTGGTCTTACAATAAAGCGCATACTGGTACGTAATTTGTGCCTTTTCATTTGCTTACAAACTTAATGCCAGCAGTATTTAATAATTTCCAATCATTAATGTTATTAAGAAACTACTACAACCTAATTGGCATTATTTTCAGAAATATATGCTGCTTTTTTGCCCGGAGTGCGGTTCATCATTGCAAGTTGAGGAGGGTTCCAATTGTTATCAGTTCACTTGTCATAACTGTCCATACGTACAACCAATTACAAAACTTGTTAGTTTTTATTGACATTAGAATACTGTTCAATAATAGCTTCTGGTTTAAAATCTCCAAGTTAACTTCATTCCTTTTCACTTTCCTGGCAGTTTTTATTCCCTATTACGGCCATTATTTAGACTTATATGAAATGAACGAATGTATTCAAATGCGATTTCCTTATTCATCCAAATAGTTCGAATTTGGTGTTTTCTTCACTGCCCACGATTTGGCATACAATTTGTATTTTTTTTACCCGTTTTTTTCTTCCTGAGATTTGTTTTTTCTTTCCCCCTCCCCTTTAAGGAAAATAACGAATTGGGAAAGTTATAGATAAAGAGCCGTTATTATCCGAAGCTGAAAGATTTGGACGAAGTGCTTGGTGGTCCTGGCGCGTGGGAGAACGCTCAAATTACAGACGGTTACTTTTGAAAATATTTGAAAACGTTATTTTTGAACAATATTCCCCAATACCGTTCTTTTCATTTTTGCAGAACGTTGTCCTCGTTGTGCTGGTGATCGAGCATATTTTATGCAATTGCAAACGCGTAGTGCTGATGAGCCAATGACTGTTTTTTATCGTTGTGCCAATTCGGAGTGTGCGCATCGTTGGAAAGAATAATCAATATAAGCGTGTATTGTTGTAGTTGTACACTTCTCGTGTTATTAAATTATTTGCTATGTTGACAATTTGTCCATCACGTGAAATAAATGGAACATTTCATGAAGTCTTTTTGTGAAAACTTATTATGGTATCTTGACACGAAATAGCATTTCATACTACACTTGATCAAGTAAACACTACTCAATAGATTAACCAACTGATAATATATTACAAATGTTTTTGTAAATTAATATATCACAATTTAAGGGAAATGAATTGATGGAGATTGAAATAGTTTAGATAAAACCTTCTTAATTTATTTGCTATAAAAATAGTAGCCTTAAGTCAACTTGTTTTGATTGGTTTCATTTTTTCTTTTTTATTTTGAATTTTGGGTCGAATTCATGTAGGACAAGTTTAATCTGACAAAAGTGTTCCAAGTTACGAAAATCTGTTTGGTTTCTCAGTTTCAGTAGTGCTACACTTGAAAAGAAGAGACTAACATTGCTAGCACTCAAACTATATTCTAATTGTTAATTGAACTTTTCATGGTTTATTCAAATTTACAAGGAATTTGTGAAATTGATTGTGATGGAAGTGTATTATTTCAGGGATGGTACTTCTCTCGTTTGGATTTATATTTTTTCAGTTCTTAATTTTTTCTGTAGTTTGGATTGTATTCATTATGGGTGTGTTTGTTGTTATACGTCTCTTATTATCCAATCATTTATGTTCAACTGCTTGTAATGTGATTGCATTCGCCATTTCTAGGTTAGTTAAAATTGCATTTCGTTGTCTTCACTAATAGTACCATTTTTTTTTAAAAGTTTACTAAACATTTAAAATGATTTGTGTATGACTTAATATCTCCTCGTTTTTTTTAAAAAATATTTTCAGTTCCCTCATTTTTCAACTTATCACGCTTTATGGCAAAAGTGTAGCAGTTCGAAAAATGATCCTCGATAGAGGTTCACCAATCGATTGCATGGTAAATTTTATTTCTAGTGGGGCATTGATGAAATTGGGAGCATTGGAAGAATTCTTGTCACATGTGTTTACCCTGCTTTTAATTTAATATTCCTGTAAAAGCAAACCTTCTATTGTGTTCTTGGCAAGTATGAAATCATACTATTGCTAATTTTTCGATTCATTCTTTATATATGCTCGAGTAGAATGGTATAAAGTACTGTATACTCAACTAATTAATTAATTAATTGCATAACCTTTCTTACCTTTTATCACTCGAATGTTATGAAACATTTATTCATTCATCCATACTTTTTTTTCAAAGGGTTTTCTCTGGTTCATTGGTCCACTGTCATCACATTCGTGTTCTGATTACTATGAAGCTCTTCAAAGTAATGTTTTCTGGCAGCTGAATGTTATGCATGTCTCCGTTACATTGCTCAGGGATACACTGATTTTGATCATGTCAATGGTAATGTTTCGTCGTTATTACGGAATCTCTTATATTGTACAGTATTTTCGAATGTTTCAGTACAACTGTTAAATCAGTTACAATTTTTAAGGAAGTTCTTAACTAGAAGTTATTGATGAAAGAGAAGATAGTTAGGGATGACGGATATTTGGCTACGCTAAAATTTATGTTTCAAGGGATTGGTTGTACACATAGTGATGATTGGGATGGTTGACAAATATAGTTGTCTGTAGATAAAATCGTGAATATGTTGTTTCTGTAGATAGGTTAAAAGGTTACGGAATACATGGTTCATTGGCACTGGTTTTGTTTTGAAATGCAAGCTTAATTTGCAGCTTGGTGGAGGGCTTGGTGAACTTCTACAATCATTTATTAGTAAGCTTCATTGGCTGTTCCATATACCTGTGTTCGTCGTAATTTCACTTTGCATTCTACTAAGCCTTTTTGCCTTCTTTGGTTGTCGTCTCGACTTGTTCTGTGGATTAATTCGGACTGACTTCGAGAAGCAACAAATCACGAGGTATGTTTTTTGTTTTCATCATGTATTGCTAATAATTTTTTAACATCGTCCTGATTATTCAGTTATTCACTCGGTAACTTTGCTATATATTTATGTCCATCAATTATGTAGTTGTATCGTTAATGAGAAACAAGATGTAGTTATTATAAAGTTGTTAGAAGCTAAAATATTAGAAGCTTGGCAGAAGCTAAAAGAGAGAGTAGAACTATCGGATATGTCATTTAGTTGTTCAGCTGAGCTACTTTTTCGCATGACAATGACGAATTAAATCAACCGACTTTTTACAGACGAGGGGAAAGCGCACCGTTTCGTAATAACATCAAGCAGCTACCGGACAAAAAATTTGTTGGATGCAGAAAGGAAGAAATCAAATCATTGTTATTAGTTAATGAACTTTATCAAAAAACACATGACTATACTTCTTTTGTGAAATCTAAGTAAATCGTATAATTGAATGGTGGCACTTCGATGATTGGTTCAAACCTGATTTGAACATCGGTACTAGACAACGCTGTTCGATCTCATGTGTTGATCTTTCTTGTTTGCATTGTGTATATCATCTTAATATTTCTACAACCGTAATCTTCCGTAAAAGTGATAACCCTTGAACTTTTATCAAATATTTATGAGTTGGATCTTTCTAGTTTTGTTTTGTTTTGCGTGAATTTGGTGACGTGGTGTTTGCCCCAGATTCTATGTACACCTCGCGTACTTGACATTGTTCACCCACCACTTATATAGCCTGGTAATATTGTTTGTGTTCCTGCTATTGTATTTAAATTAGTTATTTCATATCTATTTATTCTTACTCTTCATTTTTGTACAGTAAACAGTGCATTAAATTCATAGTCTATGCAATGTGGGGTAAGAGCTAATAAGAAGAGTTCAAAAAATCCTTCCTGTAGTTTAAACATATTTCACAGTATTGTTTACATGGGTGCACATGTGAGCAGTATTCAAGAAAACTCAAAGCTATCACTTATTAGATACTCACCTTCCAAAAGTCACCCTTAGTTCATGTTACCATAATGATCTCGAATTGTAGTTCTCTGTTCCCATATTCGTCGTGCCGAATTCATTTCAGCAAAGGTTAAGCATCTTTTTAACAAATCCGAGAAATCCTGAAAAGTTTTATCCTTTCTTCCAACTTTTATGGCTAGAGGAATCGCACCTTATTCTCTCCTTCATTCATACCATCCGAAAGTTTCAAATTTAAGTCCGTCAGAAAAGGAACGGAATACAAGGGTCATACTTAAAGAGCGTTGTTTTTTTCCTTCCTTCGTTTAGGAGTTGTCGAGAATTGCCACTGATTCAGTTCATAAGAAACTCGAAATCTTAAGAGATAGGAATCTAGAAATCTAGTTGATGACAGCATTCATTTCTAAGTGCTTAGTATTTTAGTATGCCCATAAAATGCCCCTAAAATAGCCCAAAGCACCAAACAAAAGTGCTGAACTGCAAGACGGAAGAAAGAGTCAATCGGTATTACACGTCAGTAAGACGACGTCACTACTTCACTCCAGCCAATCATCGTACAGCACGTCCGGTAACGCCTTCTAGCGGTCCGTTATAAACGCGATGCGCGTCCCCGCCTCCTCAGTATAAGACAACCGTTTCACTGGAGGAATACATTGTTGGATTACTGGGTGATTGTTGGGCGGTTGGATGTTGGCCGGTGGTTTGTTGCTATCACTTATCACATGCTCTCATTTTACTATCTAAAAAGTCTCACTCTTAAATGGACATCCCTCTCATATTTTATTCATTTTTGACTCTTCCAATGATTTGAGTCGATTTTTGTGCTTCCAGAAAATGCTTTGCCTTTCTGTGATTTATCGCGACATAAATTAGTGGTAATGTCCCGCTGTGGATTTGATGATTAAGATAACATAGTGATGATGATAGGTTAAATTTCGTGAAAAAAAATCACTCTTATCGATCTAACAGTACAGCATAAATTCTTGGTATTATGAATCGAATGCTTTAAGGATTTTTCTTTTTTTTNTTTNTT